CATAAATTTAAATTTTTGATTGAAATAAGAGGCAGAGAAACCCAGCCATGGCTGCAGCAAGATAAAATAAGAAACAAGTAGACAACAGACAGGCTACTCTCTCTTTAATTTAAATTGCTATAATTCGCTAATTACAGAGTCGGAATCTAACAATGGCATCTAAAAACTAACAACCTACTAAAACTGTAAGCATAGCACCCAGAAGGAACTATAAATCCAAACTTACTTCAAAATGGAAAAAAATATGACCTTGGGAAGTCTGCCCCTTATTAGAGTGGTAGATGTGTTCTAAAGAAACATGAAGCAAGCTTTCTCTGTTAAATGATCATCACATTTATGCCAAAGCTGTTATCTACTGTTTACCAAAATAATTTTGGAATCTGAAGAAAAACCTTGAAAGTTTGAAACAATTTGTTAATCTACATAAAAATGTTGATATTTTGAAAGAACTTGTTGGTGTAAATGAAGTACTTGATGTTCTGAAAGATCATAAGATGCTAAATTGAGATTTTTCACTGTAATAGATTGCTGGTATCACCGGGAGTGGTATGCTGTTCTAACAGACACCTAAAATGTGGAAGCGGCTTTGAAAGTGTGAATGGGTAGAGGCTGAAAGCGTTTTAAAGTACCTAATAGTAACAGCCTACATTGCCTTGAAGAGACTGTTGGTGGAATTACGGACATCAAAGACAATTCTGGTGAGGACTCAGAAGAAAGTGAGGAGAGCTGTAACACCGGAGATACCACAGACGAAGCAGCAGCAGAGAAACGACAGCAGCAGAACCAGGAGACCAGCGCCAAGACGGTACTGGAGCCAACCCACAGAGAGGGAGCTGAGTGCCTTTGCGCAGGAGGCTTCCTGGCTGAGTAGGGTGCCTCCAGGCACTTATTGATGGAGCTAGGCTTGCCGACCCATGGAGCAAGAGAGCTGAGTACGCTCTAGTCAAAGTTTACTAGCGGAGCTAAAAAGCTTTGGAACACTTGCCGCAGCAGGGCAGACGCTGGCGGTGAGGCCTGAGAGGACAAGAGGCCAAGGAACACAGGAAGCAGAGCTACCTCAGTCTCAAATGGTAGGGCCAGGACCTCTAGGGTCTCAAAGGGTAGAGCCATGGCCTCTGGGGCTTCAAAGGCTGGGGCCACAGTCTCCTAGGTTTCAAAGAGTCAGATCTTCACCAACTCAGTTCTGGAGTGTGGGGCTATGTTTCACGAGTGCCAGCAGGATGGGGCCAGATCTGCTGCCCAAAGCTGAGGGGGGCGGGGCTACCATTCCCAAAGGGCAGAAGAACGGGTCTTGCCCAGGCCGAGGAGGTAGAGTCGTCACTCAGATGGACTAGGAGAATGGGGCTGCCGAAATGCGAGGAAGCAGAGTTGCCATTCCAGTGGGCCTGGAAGGTGGAGCTGAAGCCCAGGGCCAGGGGCCTCCACCCAGAATCTAGACAGTGTGGCCAACACCCAGAGTCTAGAGGGCAGGGTTATTGCCTAAATGATCTCAGAGAACAGAGGATTATTTTCAAGCCTTGAGACCTACTGTAATGTGTTCTGCTGACTTTCTTGGTGCCTGTTATCCCTTCTTTCCCTCCAATTTCTCCAATTTGTTATGGAAATGTCTACCTTGTGCCTGTTCCACCATTGTGCTTTGAAAGTAGATAATTTGTATTCCAGATTTTACAGATGAAGAGGAACTTTTGGACTTTGGACTTGGAGTAGATTTAAGACTTTTACTATGATATGATGAGGTGAATGTGTTTTACATGTGGCAATGACATGAATTTGGGGGGGCCAAATGGTGGAATATTATGGATTGAATTGTGTCCCCCAAAAATGTGTGTCAACTTGGCTAGGCCATGATTCCCAGTATTGTGTCACTGTCCACCATTTTGTCATCTGATGTGATTTTCCTATGTGTTTTAAATTCTAACCTGTATGATGTTAATGAGGCTGGATTAGAGGCAGTTATGTTAACGAGGCAAGACTTAATCTACAAGATTAAGTTGTATCTTAAGTCAATCTCTTTTGAGATATAAAAGAGAGAAGGGAGCAGAGAGACAGGGGAACCTCATACCACCAAGAAAGTAGTGCAAGGAGCAGAGTGCGTCCTTTGGACCCAGGGTCCCTGTGCTGAGAAGCTCCTAGACTAGGGAAGATTGATGACAAGGACCTTCCTCCAGAGCCGACAGAGAGAGAAAGCCTTCCCCTGGAGCTGGCACTCTGAATTTCAACTTATAACCTACTAGACTGTGAGAGAATAAATCTCTTGTTTGTTAAGGCTATCCACTTGTGGAATTTCTGTTATAGCAGCACTAGATAATGAAGACACCTGGCATGACTATAGGATAAGAGAATAACATTCCATAATTATTTGAAATGCCACAGATAGGTGTATATAGCAGGAACTTGGGAAACCATGTTTTAGTACTTTTTCAAAATACTCAGGGGTTTGTGGTATGGGGAATTCAGAGTACAAGAGGGTGGCTTTGAGCCGACTGTGAAAAGTATTGGCTTCTTCTTTGCAACTAAGGCAATGTTAACCAAACACATATACTGGAATTGCTTTCTAATTTATATTGCTTCTAAAGACAATAATTTAATTTTCATAGTTTCCCAAGTTAACAATATGAAAATAAAACTATGGTGCTCTTTCTGAGGAAGATAACAAGGATAATGAAGGGTCTGGAAGCCATACGGTTTCAGGAATAGCTAAAGGAAAGGGACGAAGTTAATTAGAAGAGACTTAGAGTCATATAACAGTTTTCAAACATTTAAGTAGGAAAAAGATTAACTTTATAGTAGCGAACCTTGGCAGATATCACCTTAATCAAATGATCAAAGTGAACATCAGCAGTAATGGAACAAATTAAAATTATATGCAGTCTGATAGGATTCATGAGAAAAACACAGCACCACTTCTATGATATTCCTGCTAAAGATGCACAACCTGAATCTACTTCTAAGTAAACATCAGAAAAACCAAAATTGAGAAATAGTTTACAAAATTACTCACCTGTAATCTTCAAAAGTGTCAAGATCATAAAAAATTTTTAAAAAATGAAGAGCTGTTTTAGAATGAAGGAAACTAAAGAGGCAGTACAATAAAATACTACATGATTTTGGACTAGATCCTTTTGCTACAAAAGGCATTATTGGGACAATTGGTGAAACCTGAATGGGGTCTGAGGATAAGACAGTAGTAATGTAGCAATGCTAATTTCATTATATTAATGGTTGCATTGTGGTTATGAGAGCCCTGGTGGTGCAGTGGCTAAGAGTTCGGCTGCTAACCAAGAGGTTGGCAGTTCAAATCCACCAGCCGCTCTTTGGAAAACCTATGGGGCAGCTCTACTCTATCCTATAGAGCTGCTATGAGTCAGAATCGACTCAACAGCAACAGGCTTTTTTTTTTTTAATTTTGGTTATTAAGGAGCCCTGGTGGCGGAATGGTTAAGCACTTGGCTGCTAACCAAAAGGTCAGTGGTTTGAACCCACCCAGTGGCTCCGTGGGAGAAAGACCTGGCAATCTGCTTCCGTAAAGACTACAGCCTAGGAAACCCCATGGGGAAGTTCTACTCTGCCCTATACGGTCATTATGAGTCAAAATCAACTCGCCAGCATGTGACAACAACATTGTGGTTATGTAGTAGAAAGTTCTTGTTTGTAGGAAATAAACACTAAAGTATTCAGGGAACATCAGGCTGACAACTCATCTCAAATAATTCAAAAAAAAGTTCTTTACACTGTTCTTGCAACTTTTGCATAAGTTTGAGATTGTTTTAATATTTTTAAATTTTGAAACAAAATAGACAATGTGCCTTAAGCCATGACATTAAAAAATATGTGAATAGTTCTTGCCTGGAAGAAGGCTTCTGTTTGTCTTTGAGGGATGAACTAACATCACGGGGTAGAAATTACCAGGATGCAGATTTCAACTCAATATAAAGATCTTTCTAACACAATTAGAGTTGTCCAAAAACTAAATATCTGTGAGTCAAATGAGTTCTCTGTCAAAGAAAAAAATTTAAGCAGAAGCTGAAAGTTCACCGAACAGAGATATTGTTAGAAAACAGTTATTCCTCTGGATGGAAAGTTAAACTAGATGATGTACATGTGTCCCTTTTAACTTTAAGGGACTATTATACCATGGCTCTACTTCTTTTAAGTGGACCTCTGCTTTGAATCTTGAATAACCACTCTACTAGAATAACAATTACACACCTCTCAGGCACTGCTCCCTTCTTTGGAACTCTGCTATGGTTTTCAACAACATTAAAGCCTTAGCCTCTGCAATAAACCTTTATTAACTGGCCATAGTATTCAGGAGCTTCAGGGAACATACTTCTTTGCCTTGAAGAATTCTACTTATCATTCAAGCCCTATCTCAAAGGTTTTATGAAATTTCTCCCAAATTTCTGTGAAATTCACCCAAATCCTCCAAACAGAGTTAGTGCCATTCTTTTGACTTTCATACCACTTGGTATGAAAGCAGTATTACTTCTATATCAGGGATGATTCTGTTGTGTATTTTTAACTTTTAAAGATTTTTTTCTTAACGATAAGTGCACAAAAATTTTAAATTATTTAAAATCATTTGGTAGTCATCTACCTCCACTTCTACCTCCTGGACTTTGAACTCCTCCAGGACCTGGATACTATACTACTTATCTCTGAATCCCTCATAACAGGCTGTGCAGTGCCTGGGCCTCAAGTAAGGCTGGCACACTGATCACCATCAGCATCCATCATAGAGCTTATAACCTAATGAGGTTCCAGGACAAACAAAAATATATAGAAGTCAAAGATGAGCAGAACCACAGAAAGGAAATACATTGTAAAACTAGCTTCAAAGGCACAAAGACTTCCACAAATGTTATTGGGTTAGTTCCTAGACTGTGGGCTTTTTGAAGTCAGGAATCATGTTTCATCCAATCTGTATTTGCAGCTCCCAAGCACAGGGCCTGACACATAGTATAAGCTCAAGAAACGTCTGAAGAATTAAATAGCCTCACCTTTAAATACGCCTTTTATGAGTGGCGCTACTGCTGTATTGAAGACTTCTTCCTGCTCAGTAGAAGGGTCAAACACAAAGTCGTAGGTAAAGGATTTATCAGTACCAACCACCACCTAAAGAAAGCAAGGGACAAGGCATAAGAAAAAAAATGAAAGGCTAGACCACGCCCCTCGCTGCCATTTGGCCCCAGCTGTTAAAGGCTGGCCCAGGACTCTGCTACGCACCTGCGGCTCCCCTGGTACGAAGGAAAGGCACGTCTGGCAGCCCTCACTAATTTCTTTGGGGACCAGAGGGCGACAACGCAGTGCCACTCTTACAGGTATTCCCTTCACCTCTTCTTTCATGATCCTACCTCAGCACTGTCTCTGCGGAAAAAGAAAAGAGGCCTGCTGATGAATCTTGGTAGGTCGACAGGAATGGGAGGGCGTCCTGCCTCAGTTCCGGGCCTCCTCAGAGATTGGGTTGGGTTACGGAACTCTGCCGTAGCGGTGGCAACCGCCCCCTCCCAGCGGGATAGCTACCTCGGCAGATTCACTCTCTTAGACTTGACCACCGCGGGTCGGCCCGTGAGCCCAACAATCTGAAGAGAGCGAAGTGGTGTCTGAAATGGAAAGGAAAAAAACCCAAACGGAGACGGCGACAAAGGACCAAAGCCCCAAGGTACCAGGAAAGGCAGACCCTGAGCTAAGGTGTGCCCCCTTAACTCACCAAACTAAACGTCCCCTTCCCGGTCTCCAGCCACCCTGTCCCAACCGGAGCTTTAAGCGCCAAGTTTCAAATCGGTCCAAGAGGCGCCAGCCAATCGGAACGCAGACACCCTGCGGGTGGAGCGCCTACGTCTGCGCACGTAAGACTATGCGTCGGGAAGGGAAGGGCCGGCTTGGCGCACCGCGGTCCCTCGCCTTTCCGACCCAACCGTGTATCCGCTTCCGGTTCCCAACCGGATTGGCGGCGCGCGGAGTCTGCGTTGGCTGAGGCCCGACCCCGGGTGAGGTGGTGCGGGATATATGCGGTGGTGTGCGCGGGACTCAGGCCGTATGCGGAGCGGGGATCTGGAACGTGGCTGATGGTGTAGCAAGGGTCGATCTAGGGACGCCCAGCATGACTAATCACATCTAGAGAGTGTGGGGCGGTACCTTGCTCTGAGTCCCTGTGGATAGTTGGAGGCAGCACTCCCTCGGACTTAAGACGTAGACAGATCTTGTTAGACATGACCCCAATTTCCTCTTCTCTAAGATGAAGGTGGTAACATCTGCTTTGAAGTATTGTGAGAAATGAGGTCATCTTTGTAGAGTAACTAGCAGTTTGCTTGGCATCCAGCAGGTGTTCAGCAGAATTCATAGTTTTCTTCGTCTCTTCTTTTCTAACTTCTCTCCCTCAATCTTATTGCCTAGATTTGGGCAGGGCACATAGACTGACAGTCTTAGTATGGGCTGGGGCTGCTTTCTGAAACTTCCTGGGCTTCTGTGGTCCCTTTTGAATCACACTTTGGTCTGCTTTGTTTCACCCTTGCATTCCAGGGCCTTGCTGGAAATGGACAGCCGGATCCCTTATGATGACTACCCGGTGGTTTTCCTGCCTGCCTATGAGAATCCCCCAGCATGGATCCCTCCTCATGAGGTGGGAACCATCTGTATACCTGAGTAGGAGATTTTTCCCCATGAGCATGAGATGATACATGTAAGATAGGATGGCAGAGCTAGAAAGCTAAGTGGAGAGCAAGTCTTAACCCTTGTTGTAGCCAGAGGGCCCATAAGCTGGATTTTGAGCAACAGGGCCCATTGAAAGTTTCCCATGGAAGCCTCCTGTCAGGTTCCATTCACACCAGTGCCTCACATTCTGGAAATTCAGAGCCCTATCAGAGCCCTGGTGACACAGTGGTTAAAAGCTTGGCTGCTAAACAAAAGATCAGCAGTTCGAATCTACCAGCTGCTCCTTGGAAACCCTTTGGGGGCAGTTCTACTCTGTCCTGTAGGGTTGCTATGAGTCGGAATTGACTCGATGGCAAAGGGTTTTTGGTTTTTTTTTTTCATCATTTCCATCTATCAAGAGGTGAAGCAGTGGGGAACTACAGGCACTTCTCCACGTTATCCATCTACTTATTTGGACAATGTTATCTGTTCTACTTAAGCTAAGTCCGTGACTTAACCTTTTCCTGACTTCAGGGTGATGCATTAGTGTTCCAGATGAAGGTGAGTGTGATGTCTAAGACTGGTAGTAAGATCTCTGGGGTTGCTGTGTCTTGCAGAGGGTATACCACCCAGACTACAACAATGAGTTGACCCAGTTTCTGCCTCGAGTCATCACACTAAAGAAGCCGCCTGGAGCTCAGGTGAGCTTGTGGAGCACTTGCTTCTTAATCCAGGCTAGATTTGCCCATACTAGCAACATAGGCCCAGAGGTTGGCCATGGTTTTGGGGAGGGGGCTTGGAAAGGAGGCAGGGAGGTGAGGAAACTTCCTCTTGTGGGCAGAAAAGCTGAGATACCACTTCCATAACTTTGACTTCCCTTTGGGAGACACACAAGCCAAGGTATAGTACAGTGGTGCTACTAGATGTGTTTGTGGTCTATATTGAGCCCCTATTTTGTGCTCTTGTCTTACAGTTGGGATTTAACATCCGAGGAGGAAAGGCCTCTCAGCTAGGCATCTTCATCTCCAAGGTATGTGTGCCTGGTAGGCAATATGGATAGCTACTTCCCTTTGTTATCAGATTGTAGAACCCTGGTGTCCCAAGGACTGGGAGAAGGATGATTCGGTGGACTCAAACCAAAAACCAAACCCATTGCTGTCAAGTTGATACTGACTCATAGTGACCCTATAGGACAGAGTAGATCTGCTCCATAGGGTTTCCAAGGCTATAAATCTTTATGGAAGGAGACTGCCACATCTGTCTCCCATGGAGTAGCTGATGGGTTCAAACTGCTGGCCCGAGCACTTAACCATGCACCACCAGGACTCTATAAGAGGGATACCCTCTTTCCAACTTAAAATTTTCCATACGGCAAGCCATTTGTCTCCCTACATTCTCTCACACACATACATAACAAACAATAGCTCTTTACATTTGACTAATACTTAATTTCACTTACAGTCTTCTAAAATTATCCCACCCTGATCATATGTATTCTCCTTACCAACAGGTGATTCCTGACTCTGATGCACATAGAGCAGGACTTCAGGAAGGGGACCAAGTCCTAGCTGTGAATAAGGTGGATTTCCAAGATATTGAGCACAGCAAGGTGAGCACAGCACTTGAGCTATGATGAGGCAAGCAGCCATCCCAGGTAGGACAGGCTGGGCAGGATTAGCCTAAGCTGTAACTTGATACGAAAGAATCTCCTGAGGAAGTGTACCAGAGGGAAGCAGCTATTGGTGACCCAGAAGATTGGAGTGGCAAATTATTTTACCCACTGTTATGGTTCTATCCTGGGCCATATCTTTTCATTTGTACAAGCTGCTGTGTTCCTTCTAGGCTGTTGAGATCCTGAAGACAGCCCGCGAAATCAGCATGCGCGTCCGCTTCTTCCCCTACAGTAAGTGACAGTCTCTTTTTCACTTACCTGGCAGGACCCTGTGTAGGAACTCTTTAAATACCGATGACTAGAGGCACCATGCATTGGAAATGGGGGGTTGGGATCTCAGGCCTGAAAATAACCTGCCCTGTTCTTCCCTTTCTTTCTTTTTTCCCCAGATTATCATCGCCAAAAAGAGAGAACTGTACACTAGAGAACCTTCCATGTAGAATCTGCCTAGACAAGCTGGCTTAGCCCCAGGGAAGCTATTTGGGAAGCTCTGCTCTCAGCCCCTTCCTAGCATAATGGAGTGGGAGGGTGAGAAGACAGTGAGGCCCTGCACTAACCCAGCTAGCCAACTGCATTACCCAGACTGTACTATTAGTTACCTAGTTTTCTAGGGGAGCTTCACTCCCTGAAAGGAGAAGGATTATGTTTTGATATAACCTAGCATGTGGGGAGCCCTGCTAAAAAAGACAATTAACGTTTATTGAATACCATGTGCTAAATGCTTTATATATATATGTCATATGATTTTGATTAAAATATAGAAATCAGTAGAAAAAAGAATCCTGGGGGTCTTCCATCTAATCTGATTGGCCATTCCATCCTCATACTGTCAGAGGTCTCATACACTTCAGAGACTCCAGTGATACCCTGTTTTTCCTCCCTTCTTATCCTCTCCCAAAAGAAGGAAGATCAATGCTGAGGAAAATATTGGTGTGACTTTTGAATGTTACTGATTGGGTGTAGAATGCTACCAGGGCAAGAAAACACTCTTCCAAACAGAGGAACCACTGGAAGGAACAGAGTGATCTTATACCTGCTTCACAACTATATGTCTAGCCAGAACATTAGGGAGACCCAGGATCCTTGTTGAATGGCATAGGGTGAGGGGTACTGGAGGAAATATTGTCCCTTACCCCATGTGGGAAACAGTATTAATATAATTCTGTCTTCTCCTTTCCCAGATTCTTTGATCTGGAGCATAAACTAAGGGAGGGGCTTAGATGCATTTCTTTTCAGAGGCAGCGGTAAGAAATTGGTTCCCAGTTTCTGACTTGCAGGTTGAATATTACTTCTTGACTTCTGACTTGCAGGTTGAATATTACTTCTTGACTGCTGACTTGCCCCTTTTCTTCCCCTCATCCCCAAATAACCTGCTGTGTCCTTAGATCTTTAGTTCCCAATTACTGTTAGAGGTTCCAGGCTACATCTTATGCAATCCCCATTGGCATATTCAAAATACCCATTCAGAATTGAAAGTTTTCTAGTGAGGTATGGGGTAAAGTACCCCCATAATGAAGCTCCCAAATTTAGGACTGAATATTTGTCTTCTGCCATCTAGGCCTCTGTTTGTTTTCCAAACTTGCCCTGTAAAAATCCTAGGAAGCTTAAATATATATTTCCGGGCCCTTCCCCTGGAGAGTGATTCTGTTAGTGTGAGGTGGGGCTTGGAAATCACTATTTTTAAATAAGCACCCAAGGTGAGTCTTCAAATATGGGAAACAGTTCTAAATAGTAGTAATATATCTCTATGAGGAAGATCTGGCTCTTCCTATAAAGCCGACCCCAGTGCTACTAAGGTACTTCTAGAGCTTAGTGCCATTTTTAGATAGCAACAGCCCTTATGAGCATAACTGGAGCTAGAACTAATTTAGCTGTCTGTGCTTCCTGGGAAATTCCTTCCCATTCTGTGCTCCTATTTGCTCTGCTGCCCCCCAATGGCCATCTGAGAAAGAAAAACAGGGGCTTAGACACTTCCACAAAGGCACATTGGCTGAATCTACTGAATATTGAGGTCTGAGGCTCTCCCTGTGGCTAACAAGTTTTAAAACCACTCATCTAAGAAGTGCAGTAAACATGGTAAATAAATCCCAACCTGGTGTCATGGACCGAAGAGGCAAAAACCCTCCTGCCCTAAATTGGTCTGCTGTTGGGGACAATTCTGTGTTGAGTCACTATCATGATACAATTGTATCATGGAGGTACAGGTATAGCATGGAAAAAGTGCAAGCAATAAGAGACTGAGATGAAAGAACCAGTCATTTATTGAGGGAGTAGATAAGAAAACAGTGGAGAACAAATTGTATTGGCCTTTGAGGTATACCAGCTACTGTAGAACTGCATCCTCTATAGATGTCTTAGCAGTCAGAGAAGGTAAAGTGGAATTTCCTGGTGCTGCAGGAAGCTTCCACCCAATATCTGTGACTTGTAGTCAAGAAAAAAATGATAGCACTTTAAGGGGTTCCTTTTTATGTCCTAACCCATTGAAACCCATTGCCATCAAGTCAATTCTGACTCATAGCAACCCTATAAGAATGATATAATGATTTTATGTCCTAAGCCCAGGAATGGGAAGAGAGCTAGTGGGTGGTCAAGTATTAAAACCGTAAACATGAGGGTAGGGGAGAAAGAGTGGTATTGGGAAGCCCAAATGTAATAAATTCATCAAATTAGGCAGAGAGACAGTCTTAGGCTATGAACAAGAACAAGGGCTTCCAGTGTCTGACTCATTGGAGGGCTCCAGTTGAATTTCAACCACTGAAGTGCATGTTAAGGAAGGTAATAGATTAAGATGACTGGAGATAAACTTCCAGGGGCAGCTTCTAGGACACAGAAGAGGAATTCTGGTATTATGATCCCCTTCACTTAAAGGCAAACCAGGAAGCTACTTTGGCCTAAAGTTGGTCCCATATTTTAAGTACCACTCCAGCAGAAAAATTGGATTGGCCATCAACTCAGCAAAGGAAATTTGCTTTCCCTTCTTGTACATTCCACCCCAGCAAAGCTAGGAGAAAGGATACTCTCCTCTTCTAAGGGCAGTAGCCACACGCTGGAATAGCTGTTGGGAGTCAGGAGTGGGCAATGGTGACACACAAAAGGGAAAAAAAAAGGTCAGGTTCAAAGGCTGAGATGATTCCAGGTGTTTGGATTACATGATGAGTAGATGAATCTTGCCCCCACCCCAGGATAGGACAAACCAAGGTTATCCAAAAGAGTAAGCAGTGGTTGGTAGCTAGAGATAGAGTGCAGTAGAGAAAGAGAAATGGGTATTACGTTTTTCGCGTAACTGGTTTTGTGCTGGTCTCAGTAAACATCATGTTGAGGTTTCTGGATTTTTCTTCACCCTTTTCTGCAGAGACTTGTCTGAACAAATGAGAAACGATGAAAGGGACCAGATAGTGGTAAGATTCCTTCTAACCCAGAGTTAGTAGATATGGATAGATCTTTCTGAGGTATAATGATGCTTCCCTAGGACCAGGAGCCTAGAAGCTTGAACCCATGATCATTCTGATCCCTGACACTGGTAACTTCTCCCCAAGTAAACAGCACAGTTGACCCTCCCCACAGAGATGGAGCTCTAGGTATGCAGAAGTTCCAGTTTTCCCTTACCTTTTGTTGTTCAGGAGCCCTGGTGGAGCAGTGGAAGTTTGAATCCACCAGCTGCTCCTTGGAAACCCTATGGGGGCAGTTCTACTCCATCCTATAGGGTTGCTATGAATTGGGATCGACTTGACAGCAGTGGGTTTGGTTTTGGTTTGGTTTGTTGTTCAGATCAATCTTGTTACCCACCGACATGATGCTATCATCATCATGTCTTTCTGTCCATACATCTTCTACCCACTTATCTGTCGCCTTGAAAGAGCTAGTGTCTGCAAGAGAATATGTTTCAGAGGATTAAAACATTTAGTAAAGGTTTGGAAAGAATAATGTACCTGTCCATCCTCTGCTGGTCTTAACCAACTTCCCTATTGCTTCCCTCATAGTCTCCTTTTCAAGTAAAACACATAGCACCCACATATGATGTCATAGATGACCATTGCAATAGCTGAATCACGAATGTAGCTAGGAATTAGGCTGCAAAAGCGCTCCTGGCCAGCTGTGTCCCATAGCTGCAGCCGAATCTGCATAAAATAAGTGTTTAGGAAAAAGATGAGGAAAGGTAGAAAAGAAACTAGCCTTTTACAGGTTAGAACTTAATCAGGCAGAATAAAAAGAGTCAAGGCGACTGCTGCTATGGCCCCAATCCAAGTGGCCCAGAGTCCTAGGATGGGTCCAATCTCAATGAAAGACCCTATAGAGGCAGATTTAAGGATTTAAGTCCTCTTAGACATTGTCTATATTATAGTTGGGGATTAGATGAGGGCAGAGAAAACAAGAAATATTGCAGGGTTTGGTGATTTGGGGAAGCTTGAGTTTTTTTCTTCCTCTATCTGCAGATGATCTGGGATGGTGCTACCCTACTGTGAATAGGCCTAAGGAGTTGAGATATAAGGTTAGTGGTATGGGAGTTAACAGTGTTCAATCCTCCAACTACATGGTCTTAGACAGGAAGTTAGTTCCAATGATTGCCTGCAAAAAAGGATCCAACACTTGTTCTGTACCCCTCTTCTATCCCCAATACCAGGCGGTCTTAGAACCATAAGTGGAAAAGGGCCCTGAGGAGTTTGCACTGGCTCAACTTCCCAAAGCTTACAATTGATAACTTTGAGGAGGAGAATCCCTCATTAAGTCTTCCAAGGAAAAGGGGCAAAAATGTACCCTGTGACTCCTTGATGATGGGCTCATGCGGTAGGTGCCGTCAGAACTGTCATACATGAAGCTGGTGATGATCAATGTCTTCCCCACTATAAGGGAGATGAGTATGCCAACTGTCACCCTGGGCACCACCCTTTCTCCCCTCAGTCTGTTTATGAATTCCCCACACCCCAACACACATTCTCCAAACTTTCCCAAAGGGGAAATTGACTCCCCAGAGGGCCACACCCCCATTCCATGCCACCACACCTCCTGATCCCCAAAATCCAACCCAAACCCCCACCGCTCTGCTCTCCCAGGAATATGAGTTTGAATTTGCGAGGGGCAGGTTAGTATTCGGGTCTCTCCTTGGTTTCCGGGCCGAAGCCTCTGGCCTCAGCCTCCCTCTAGGCATCCTGGGGATCAAAGGCGTACATCGCAGCCTGCTTGCGGGCAACACTGGCCCCTAGCACCTTTAGAGATCTGAGTGGCTTCTAGCTCTCGGTCCTCCGCTTCCCGACCTCACACCATGCTTGTGACTCCAGCTGCTGCTGGCGACTGTTGGCACCCAGGCCCACAGCACAAGCGGCTCGGCCACGCCCCCTTAGGGCCTTCCTGGCAGCTCCTGCACCTCCAGCGGCGCTGGGAGTGGCTACTGGGGCCTGGGAGGGAAAGTTGAAGGGCCCATGGAGGGCGAATGGCTGTGCCAGAGAGGAGAAGCTGGGGCCACGAAGGGGAAAAGCACATGCTACAGAGTAATAACTGACTGGGGGAAGGAAGGGGACATCGATCTCAGTAGTTCCATTACCTTCCCGGAGGAGGGAATATCAGAGAGCTCCAGGCATGTCTGGAGTCCTAGCTGATCTATTAGAGTGTTACAGCAAGGGCTCCCACACAGAGGGTACAAGAGTGAGGCAGTCAGCTCCCCTCGTCCCCCTCCACTGTCAAAGTCTCCTGGCTCTCCTCCCCGCCATGCTCCTGCCTCATAGACTCCTGGATGACTATGCCCTCAGAAGCCTGCAAAAGCAGCAGAGGAAAATGGAGGGCTAGGAACCCTTTTCTGGGCATCCTCCTCCACCGTTCACCCCCTTCTCATGATCCCAGAGAAGTGATCCCCTCCCTGCTTCCCCACCCAGATCCTTGCCCCCTTCTCAGTAACTCACCCCCTCCCGCCATGGACCACACTAGCTTGTTTTCCCTTCATTGCCTCCCAAATCTCCCAACACAAAAGACCCCCAGCAGCACTAGAAGGGAAATAAGAATAGAGGGTGAGAAGAAGGGAAGGGATCAAAACTGAAGAAGGGCGAGAGGAGAGGAAGGAAAATGAAAAAAAAAAAGTGGGCCGAAGGCTAATTCCGAAAAGAGGAGGGGTGGAGGGCGGGGGATGCAGAAAGGGAAAGGAAGGCCTATGAAAGGATGACTGAAGGATGACTGGAAGCTAAACCTTATCTTCCCATTGCATACATGTAGAAAACAACACCCAGGGAAGTTTTTTTTTTTACATTTGCATTGTCATAGAATGGAGGGTGGAGGGGGGATGGGGCTTCCAGGCCCCATATTCCATTACCTGGTGGCATCTGTAGCAAGCATGGAAATGGAGGGAAAAAAAGGAGCTGAAGCTGCTAAGAGGTTCTTCCTTTTCATGAAGAAATGTTACTCTTCCCCCTCCCTTTCAAACCCCTGCCCTACACACGTACACACAAACATAACACACGCTTCCTCTGAAAATCTACACACTCAGCCTACCTATGGGTATTCCACCTCTACCCAAACAGCCAGTCTTCAATTCCTGAAATCAGAACTGCTTGATTCCTGACCTTAACACTAACATTCCTGCTGTGTCCCATCTGGTCACTCACCAGGTGAATGCATCAGAATCGGGCAGTTCCATACCAACATCGCTGCAGGAATCCCAAGGCTGAGCTACTGATCTTCCCTGAACCTCCCTCCCACAGTTTTCCAGTCCTAGGGATGCCCTCAAACTCTCCCTAGTTACTCTTTTGGTCTCCTTATCCCCTCATCTTCCCCTTCTTGCCTCAGTCCCCCCTCCCTACAGCCTCTCATCTGGCTGTCAGGTCTCCTAGGGTGCTGAGAGTAGGACACCCCAAAATTAGCAGCTGGGAAGGGGCAATCTAATTTTACTGGGGATGAGGGATCATAAGGTCAACTGAACCACAGAATGGGTTTATGGAAGGGAGGGTGGCTTTCTCACTGAGCCCACAGGTTTGGGGGACCTGGTCTGGGAGAAGGGGTGGGGAACAGCTTGATTGGGTCAGTCCAACCGGGAGAAAAACAGAAGTGAGAAATCCTTGGCTACCCAGCCCTTGCCCAGACAGACCCTGGATCCCTCTCACCCTCCACAGTACACCATCAGGTTGATTCTGACTTTGTAGGACACGAGGATCCCCAGCAGCTCCTTGTCAATTCCAGGTTGAAGAGGGTGGTTGTAGTAGTCTTTTTTGGGGGGTAGGATGGGGAGTAATTCATTCAATCGCCCAGTCCTTTCCTGTGCATTCCCATCACCATTACCTATTAACTTGTTTTCTTATCAGGTCTCCCAGGCTGTAAACTCTCCTACCCACTGGTACCACATTTCTCTTCCAAAAATCTACTTTTATCAGGTCACCATCTGCCCAAGAACCTACCTCATGAAATATAACTACTCTGCCTGGCTTTCAAGACCCTTACCAATCTGGCCCCAACCAGCCTCTCCAACCTTTTCTTCCCTGAATCCCTAACACTTGGTGTCATGGATTGAATTGTGTTCCCCAAAATATGTATCAACTTGGATAGGCCACGATTCCCAGTATTGTGTGGTTGTCCTCCATTTTGTGATCTGATGTAATTGTCTTCCATTTTGTGATGTGTTGTAAATCCTAACCTCTGCCTGTGGTTATAATCTCATTTGTGAATGGATTGTGTTTTGTTATGTTAATGAAGTAGGATTAGGTTATGTCAGCGAGGATTAGGTTATGTTATTATTATGTTAATGAAGCAAGAATAGGGTGTATCTTGATTCAATCTCTTGTGAGATATAAAAGAGATTAAACAAGCAAGCAACAGAAGCAGAGATGGGGGAAGAGAGATGCCAAGCTACATGAAGACTGCCCAGGAGCAGAAGCTCAGAAGAAACAAGGACTTTCTTCCGGAGCTGACAGAGAAAGACTTCCGTTAGTGCCGGCACCCTGAATTTGGACTTGTAGCCTCCTAAACTGTGAGAAAATAAATTTCTGCTTGTTAAAGCCATCCACTTGTAGTATTTCTGTTACAGCAACACTAGATAACTAAGATACCTGGGATACAACCTAAGCAGGCCCATCCTATCAGAACATGCCATGTAGATTCCCATCTTCTAGCCTTTACCCATGCTGTGCTCCCAATCTGGAATGCCCCCTTCTTCCTCTTGCTATCCAGATCCTACACATTCTTCAAGATCTAGCTCACTCTGCCTTCTCCAGGAAGCCCTCCTCAGGTATGTTAGCCCAAAGGGCCCTCTCCCTCCTTTTAACTGCTAATAGATTTATAATTGGAGCCACCTGTGCTAACATTTAAATATTATATTGCACTAGCATTCATCTGTTCATCATCTAAGCCATAAATTGACAAAAGGCAGAGTAATGGTAAACTTCTTTGTACCTACACATTACTTACCATAGGAATAAGCACGTAATAGTGCTGTTGTAGATTGAATTGTGTCCCCCAAAAATGTGTGTCAACTTGGCTAGGCCATGATTCCCAGTATTGTCTGGTTGTCCTCCATTTTGTTATCTGATGTAATTATCCTATGTGTTGTAAATCCTAATCTCTATAATGTTAATGAGGCAGGATTACAGGCAGTTATGTTAATGAGGCAGGATTACAGGCAGTTATGTTAATGAGGCAGGACTCAATCTATAGGATTAGGCTGTATCTTGAGTCAGTCTCTTTTGGGATATAAAAGAGAGAAGCGAGCAGAGAGGAGAGCGATCTCCTACCACCAAGAAAGAAGAACCAGGAGCACAGTGTGTCCTTTGGATCTGGGGTCCCTGTGCTGAGAAGCTTCTAGACCAGGGTAAGATTGATGACAAGGACCTTCCCCAGAACCAACAGAGAAAGCATTCCCCTGGAGCTGGCGCCCTGAATTTGGACTTGTAGCCTCCTAGACTGTGAGAGAATAAATTTCTGTTCGTTAAAGCCATCCACTTGTAGTATTTCTGTTACAGCAGCACTAGATAACTAAGACAGATGCTCAGTAAAAACTCACTGATTGAAAAATAAGACACAGAAAACTATGATCTTGGGAAAGTCTCTTCATTGCTCTGGGCTGCTGATTCACTATAATAGTGTTTAGATTATTTCTAAGGGTCTTTTCTAGCAATAATAATTTATAGCTACACGATTGATAAGGCATGGAGAGGTATAGGGGGCTTAATACTTGTCAGATGGTGGCAGACTGCTTTTGGTGGGAGACACATCTAACACTAGGGCTTCTGAAGGCATAGGACCAAATGAATGACTAGATAGAATTCTGTCATTCCCTACATCATTCTCCTTTTTTGTCCTTCCTCCATTTGTCATCTACTAGTCTTCCACTCCATTTCTATCTTCTCTAGAGAATAACTACTGTAGAGATCACAGTATTTACAGCCAGATGACATGTGGTAGGATCCTGCCTTCCTCCCCACCCCCCACCCCATCACTTATTAGCTATGCAACTTTGGAAAAGTTCCTCTGTATCTCTGACCCTCAGGGTCCTTAAGTGTAGAATCAAATAAAAACACCTATCCAGACTTCTTTAATGGGATTCTTATGAAGATAATATAATACATATGTAGAACCTTTGTGAACTGTGAAATATTATACAACATAAGGAATTTTTCTTTTCCACTTTCTTCCTTTCTTGCTGCCTAGGACATAAGCCTGTCATTGGTCCCATGGGCATTATTTAGCTTACTGACGGACCTCGGTCCTAGAGGGGACTCTGAACACTGGCCTGGGGCATTTTAAAAAATAGGTAGGCTTCGAGAGAGTAGGGCAAAATGGCGCTCTAGGCAGAAAGCACCACGCTGTCCCTTCACAGCAAAGATCCGAAAAACTAAGCCAGACAGAGAATACAACAATCGTGAAACCCTAAAACATCAAATGAAGAGATAAAGAACTCAGCCAAGCACCAAATGGAGTGAGAAAACTGACAGAGAACAGAGAGCAAGGAGAGATTCAT